GAGGAACCCAGCTGACAAGTTTGAAGTTGAATAGATTCTTAGATCACGGGTTTTCAGAAATTCCCTCTCACTTCGCAGGCCACTTCACGGCCTGCGAAGTGAGAGGGAATTTCTGAAGACAACATATGTGAGAGACTGATTGGCAAATTACCAATTTTTTTGCACTACTAAGAACATAAGGTGGCGCATGCATTGGCTGCCAGCTGTTATTCCCTATGCCTCTTTCTTACACCTTGCTTGGCCTTATCTGCAGTGCGCAGCACCGTAGTGTAGCGCAGAACTGGCCTTCATGTGATATAATTCAGGATATGCAATCTAAAATCCTGAGTAAAGCAAGAACCACTCAAATGGGCCTTGTTGTGAAGCGTAAAATCTGGTATTAGTTTGGAACTGGCAAGAAGCACAAAAGCTGCAATTTGTCGAGAGTCATTCGCAGAGATAAAAGCATCGGGAAGAAACAGACGCTTCCCGAAAAACGGAGGCTTTATTTCGTGTTTTTTAAGATTTCTGGGGTTTAGCATATCCTTCAGTGAGCAGTGATGCTGAGAAGCTTGAATTCAGAGCAAAAGAGAAAGCTACGGGCAAAGCTAAGCTTAGCCCATTCCTCGGTGTGTCCTGCAGTTCGCTACAGCTTTAGGATATCATGATGCATTAAAGCAACAGTGAGCAGCACGGAAATGCAGGAAGCGGGAGAAATCCGAGGGAAAACAGATGCATGCATGCATGCATACCCTTGTCAAATAGGCCGACAATGATTTGACAATTAGGCCGACAGTAGTTCCATTTGGACCCTTTTGGCACGTGAATGGTGTTATTCCTAAGTCGTATTGTGCATGGATTTACTTAGGCAAGACTAGAGGGGCATATAGGAGCAGTGCTGGGCTTAACTCACTGCAGCAGGGAAGCAAAGTCTCGACAGACCGGCAATGCCTACTTTTGCGAGGCTTTAGGAGGCCTGAATTGCCGCTAGGATGATCTGCAAAACAAATTATGACGGATTTAGCTTGTGATGGGTTATGTGAAATCTTGTTTCTGGAGAAAAGTTGCAGACTTGATTGCTCTCCGTCGCTGCTGATCGCTCAAGTTGCGGTGGTGTTTTGCACTCTACCTTCTTACAAAAGAAAGCATTTGACCTTCTTTACTGTTGTCTTGTGAGTCCCTCAAAACGCTTCAAAGATTGAAACCAAATGGCTTCTTTGTTATTTCAAAATTCACTGTTCTATTATCACTATCTTGGCTGGGAGTTGGACCTGGTAGAAAACCCAAGTTTAGTCACCCTAGAAAAGGGTACAAACCACCCAATGCATGCAAATCAAACGCAACAAAACTATGCTGCTGTTTCAGAGTCTTTTTGCCTCTTTTTTTCCCTCACTAGCTGCAGTCTGTGGGGGGCCGGCGCTCTAGACACCCCCAAGAACAGGCCAAATGGGTCAAGGATGGAGCTGAACTCCCTTGTGTGGGATCAGCACTACAAAGTGGATAGCTGAGAAGAAGATCTGAAGCCCTTAAAAGGGGTAGAGGCTTTCAAAGGGAAAACTGAAACGTCTTTAGTGCGGATTTATCGAGCTCAGCTAGCGAACGGCAAGGAGAGGGTTTCGCGTCTAGAGGCCAAGTCTAAAGTGGAAGAATTGCAACATTTGTTTCCGAAAATCTTTGAAATCTCCAGTTCATTTGCCCTTTTAAGCCCAAGTGGTAAAAGCCCGTGCAGTGCTCAGAGGTGTGCGGTCATCGTCGGCAGCAGCCCTGAAACTTCAGCGGAGTGTTAAGGCTGAGTGTCCAGGGGTTAGAGCTTTTGAATTGCGACAAATGCCTTTCTATATTTTGTCTTTTTGCTCCAAACGAGAGAATTTCCAGAAAAAAAGGGGAAGCAGCAGCAGCAGCCACCAACCCCCGCTGCTGAGCAGCAAACTGTAACCTTGAAATGGCACGCGGGTGGCGCTGGTTGCCAAGCTGGCCTCCTGGAAGTTGCTGCTGCAGCAGAAGCTGCTGGTGTCTGTCGTTGCTGCTTGATATATGCCTGAAACCTTTTGTTTTTCTAGTAAATAAAGAGTTTAGGGTTTACACTTTCGCTGAAGATTTCAGGGAGCTCGAGACCCTGTGCAGCGGTTTGCTCGAGCCGCACGGCTGTCGCCTTCTGGAACGGTCACGGGTTCAAGTCTAGGGCTTAGAGTCTAAGGCCTAGGGCTTAGAATCAAATCTTTCTCTATTTTTACAAGATTTTAGGACTTAAGATGTGACACGGGAGCAAACAACAGTCGCTATGGTGTCCCTTTCTCCCGTCCCCGCCGCCGCCGCCTCCAGAGCAAGCTGGACCACTGGTGCGCAGCCGCGGCAGCAGCAAAGCCAGCAGCAGCAGCAAATCCAGCAGCAGCAGCAGCTTCAACACCCAGCACAGAAACGCCAATGGCAGCAGCAGCAGCAGTGGCAGCAGGAAGCTGCGCCGGCCTCAGAGGGTCCTAGACGCAGTTCCACGCAACAACAGCAGCAGCAGCAGCATCAAGAAGAGCAGCAGCAAAAGCAGCAGAGAAGCAGAGGCAGCCGATTTACTCGCCGCCGGTCCCCCCTGCGTTTCGCTGCACTGTCCCTGGTCTGGTTCTTTTGCTGCAGCAGCAGCAGCGACAGTACCGCCGCAGCAGCAGCAGCGCCAGCAGCAGCAGCAGCAACAGTTCCTGTCGAACTTTTCTCAGCCAAAGCCTCCCAACACCTCCGTTTTGTCTTTCCTCATCGCGCACTATCTCTCGAAGACTCAGCTGTGTCGCAAAATGCCGAAAGTGAAAAAGTCTCGGTGGATGCAGAAGCAGCAAGTGCAGCAGATACTCCGGTGGCTCTGCTGCAGCAGCCGAAAATCCCAGTAGAAGCTGCACTGCAAGAAGTGACCAAAAGTAAACCATTGGCCCTCAACACAAGTCCTTTATTTCCAACTTAGGACCTCAATGAGAGTCAAAGTCAATGAGACACTCACAGATAATTCCTCTGGCTTGAGTTAGGGTCTAGAAATTTATATAAAATGTCTCATGCTGAGGGTTTAGGGTTTAGGGTTTGGCGTTAGGCTGAATATATCCTGGAGCAACAACCACCCCCCTGCGCTTCCGTGGCCAGCCTTCAGTGTATAGGGTTTGGGTTCAGCAATTAGGGTTTAGGGTTTATAATTAGGAAATTGTTTTTGTCTTTTTTGCAGCTTTCATGCCGCTGCTGCAGCACTTGCCTGGGCGGGTGAAGGTGGGTGCAGCAGCAGAAATAGAAGCAGCAACAGCAGCAGCTGCTGCTGACCGTATCTCTCTGGCTTTGTCTCTGCCTCTTTGTCTTTTGAACTTTGGTGAATTAAGCACCAGGCTAGGGGCGGGCTCTTTTGGTGAGGTGTTTCCTTTCGCGAAGGGGCCCCTAGAGGGGGGCCCCTGCAGGGAAACGCTGGCAGCAGCAATGGCAGCAGCAGCAGAAGGATCTCAGGGGAGATATGGTGTCAAAATATTCAGAAATGAAGCACTGGTGCATTCTTTGGAGGCGGCAATGGCAGGACGCACAAACTACTCGCCCGCAGCACTCAACAATGCACAAAAAGTGATCCGGTAAGCAGCTGACTCAAGGGCCGCCTAGATAGCTAGCTAGCTAGCTAGATAGCTAGCTACCAGCTAGCTAGCTAGATAGCTAGCTAGCTAGCTAGCTATGCAAGGTGGACAAGCAGGCAGGCAGCCAAATAAAGTGGACTGGACATCTCAGGTCTCTAGACAGCTAGCTAGGTTTTCAGCTGGGCTGGCGAAGAGCTAGCGAACTGCCTTGCAGCTGCCTATGGGCTAATAGCTGAATGGCTAGTCAGCTAGCTGTTAGCGGCACAAAGATTGGCATGTTGATCTGTAGCTATTTGAGTGGCTAGCTACCCAGATGAGCTGGCAGCCAGCTAGCCACCCAAATATCTAGATGACTAGTTGCATATGCAGCGCATGCTTCCTTTTGCCGGCTTTTGAATGGAAATTCATGAGCCTCAGTCTGTACTTTTTTAATTTTTTGTTTTAATTTTTCAGAAGCATAGACCTAAGCGACGGGCTGCTGCGCTCAGCCATTCAGGAAGCATTGGGGTCCGAGTCACCAATAGCTCAGCTGCAGCAGCTGCAGCAGCAGCAGCTGTCCGGTGCTGCCCTCGTGGCCAACCACAGAAGCATTGAAGCAGCAATCAATGCCAACTTGTACCTTGCGGATTTGAAGCTGACTGGGCTGATCCTACACAGAGTTCTTGAAGTGATAAAAACGATGCACCCAAAAGTGTACAAATTCATTGAAGGTAAACATGAATAATAAAGTATACTTTTAGACGAGGCGAATTATACCCCATACGTGCTTACACTGGTTTTGTTCGTACTTGTGTAGTAAAGTCCTGAGTGCCGCTGCTGCTACTGTTCTAGCAAGGTGCTACTTCCGCTGCTGCGTACAGCTGTTGCTGCTGCTACTACTGCTGCTGATACTACTGCTGCTGCTGCTCTTGCTGCAGCAGGCTGCAAATATTGTCGTTCCTATACGTGAAAGCTATTATTGCTGCTAACAGTTGCCCTTGCTAGTCCATGTTAGTGTTCGGTTGGAGCAGGCGGGCCGGCGGAAAAGCGCTAGTCTTGCGACAACAGCCAGCTGCTGTCAGTGCTGCTGCTGCTGCAGCTGCTGCAACAAGCTGCGGCAGCTAGTGTTTATCCTTTTTCTTCTGTTTGCTCATAATTGACAATGAGGTATTTGTTTGTCTCTGCAGGCGCATCTCTTGAAGATAAGGCTTCTCTTCTTGCTGCTGCTGGAGAGAAGTTTGGCTGGGCCATTCCCTTTGGTCGAGTTTTAGTCAAAGACAAGAGCGGAAGACAACTTTGGGGACTTCTTCTCAAGATTTACGATGGAGACATAGACGTCAGACTGCCGCTGCTGTTGCTGTTGTAGATAGATGCTGCTGCTCTTGCTGCAAATGCCGCTGGAGATGACTGCTGCTGTAGGTAGCTGCTGCTGCTGTGGGTAGCTGCTGTTCCAGGAAGTGCTGTCACTGCTGGTCATGGCGGTGGCACAGGTGCTGCTGCTGCTGTCTTCTTCTGCGGGTGGTGGTGGTGCTGCTGCTGCTGCAGTTGCTGTTTCTGCTGCTGTTGCTTTTTGTCTGGCTGCTTCTTTTTGAGTGATTGGATTGTCCACTTCTGATGACTAGTATTTTCTTTCGTGCAACTTTTGCCAAAATTAATCGCTCGTCGTTTCTTGTCCTATCTCTTTAGTTCAAAGCATATTTTGTTCTTCTCTTCACTCTATGCCCCACATTCTTCGTGGGACTGTTTCTCTCTTCTGTTAAAGGAACCTCCCTTTTTCTATTTCGTTGTCTTCCCTTTGTGGCTTCCGCCTTTTTCGCTTGCTTTTGCTTCACTTTCTTGTGCGTTTCTTCTTTGTGTTGTTCTACCATTCGTGCGTCTTTTCTTTTTCTTAAAGTGGAAGGACTTCTCATTTATTTACTTGTTCAGGTGCGCATCAGCATAAAAGATGATGGGTCCAGGTTGGATGTGTGGAGCGAGCCAGCGGGAGCACCACAAGGGGCAGCAGCAACGACAACAGCAGCAGCAAGAAGCGCATATCTGAAGAAAGTAGCAAATGACCGGAATTCTCTTCTTTCTGTCTCCGCCAAAATGTTGAGTCCTATTGTTTACATGCACAACTATTTCTCCTTTGGGCATTTCGACATTAAGCCTGCCAATATGCTCTTCGAGAAAAATCACGAGTAAGAAGCCCTGAAACGAAAAAACAAACAACAACACAATCTCCACTAAACCCTATATCCGTAGGCTGCTCCGATTTCGAAAACGAAGTTCAAGATCAAGAACGTGTGATACTCTGCAAAAACCTAAATCATGAGCCCAAGACCCTAGCTCTTGCGTCCATGCCTAATTGTGTAAACTAAGGACCGCAATATCTATTTATCTCGATGCCCCTGAACCACAAAGCTTCCTGCAATCCCTTATAAAGGCTCTCTTTAACACCACAAGTATTCCTTAGCCTCGCATCTCTGCTTGTTGTTCAGCACGAACATTGTTTTCACCGACTTCGGCATGGTGGCTGAGCTGGGGCAGACAGTTCCGTTCAGAGGAACAGTTCCTTTCTTGGCGCCGGAAATGGAAAAGGAAAAAGAACCTCCTAGCTCCTCAAAGGTTGAGTCCCCAGGGAGCACGGCAGCTCCAAAGTGGCGAAGTTCGCTGCGACTTCCCGCGCTTCCTGCTCACGATGTTTTCGCCTTGGGACTGACACTGGCTTCTGTCTGGTTCATGTCTGCCAGCTCGGCTGTCACCTTTTTGTGGGTTGACAGATGCATTAGACCATATTTGCTGCCTGGAGTTCGCTTTACTTTCGATGCCCTTAGAAGCAACGCGGGTCCTCAGGTGTACACGAGCCACGTGCGCAGACACCTCAACCGCTGCATGAGTCCCGGAGGCAAAGTGGAAAAATTGTACTTGCCAAGTATGCCTCTCCTCGCCAAACTTAAAATAAAACAAATGACGGAGACCAACCATCTCACCAGAATCTCTGCCAGCAACGCTTTCGCATTCATTGCAGGTAAGCCCAAGGCCAATGGTCTCGCTGCTATTATTTTGGTTGCTAGCAATACCAACCCCACTAGGGGGAGCAGCGACAACAGCAGCAGCACTAGCACCCCTGCCAGTGGCAGCAGCAACCATCTATTGCTGCAGCACTTGATCATTTGTGTGTTTCTTGTTTCTTCAGTGGCCCATGCCTTGGAAAAATTGCGGGACAGGCCGCCTGAGGAGGCGCAGCAGCTGCTGCAGCAGGTTCGGGGAACTGTACTTCTGCGTCTGTCTCTTTCCAAAGCAGGAGGAGAAGGAATTCAAGTGGGAACTGTCAAAGGGAAGCAGCAGATTACGGACACACTGAGAGCGTTGCTGGAACTAGGTATGGGTGGCGCTCTGCTGCTGCTGCTGCTCCCGCAGCAATACCAACAACATCTGCAGCAACAGTGCTGCGTTAGTTATTCTCCCCACTGACGGCATTACATAATATGTAGCAGCGAAAATAGCAACTGCATGAACAGCATTTACTGTTATTGCTGCTGCAGCATCTTGGAGTCCGCTTCGGGAGGCCGTGGAATCAGTTGTGGCACCAGTCGCAGAGGATGCAGCTGTGCAACTTGCCCAGCTGCCGGAAGCAACAGCAGCAGAAGTGACAGAAGCACAAGACAAGCTGCAGCAGCTGCTGCAGTGGCCGCAGCTGCAGCAGCAAGAAGGACAAATGAAAGACAAAACCTATGCTGACCTAATTGATGCAGTTCTTGGGCTGGACATGGAGGGACTCAATGCATTAACACAGCAAGAAATTACAAACAGAAAGTGTAAATCACAAGAACTAAACCTATAACGCGAATGCCTCCTGCCACACCCAACCCCTGGCTTCCAAAGCCTTCGTGCCCCACACTCTAGGGGGCAAATATTGATATTTTCCTTTGTATTTGTCTTGTTTGCTGCAGTGTCTGCTGTTAACATGTCAATCGCAAGAGCCGCGCAGGAGTATATACAGCAGCAGCTAGACATCGATCCTTATACCCAACTAATAGAGGAAACGCCAACAGAACAGGCTGTTACATTTATTTTAAAGTCTGTGGGGATCAAGGATGAAGGAGAGAGCACAATACTAGAGTACTTTAAAGAGAGGTGAGAAAAGGGGTTGTTTGTTCTTCATTTTAGTCTCAATCCGTTTTGTACTGCTTCCCCTTTGTCATTTTTTGTCGGTCTTTTGTCATCCGCCGTCCTGTTCCATCTCTCTTTCCTCTCTTTGTTTTCCTCCGTCTTTTTCCTATTTTTTGCGCGGATTTGCCGCTTTTCATTTCTTTCTGATTGGATAAGCCTGCACCCTGGGTCTCTATCGCCTTCTTCCTCCGTCGGTGCTTCTCTTTTTTGTTTCTCTTCGCTGTCTGGCTATTTTTTGTTGTGATTATTACTCTTTTTCTATTTCATTTTAGTTTGAAACGTCGCTCTTGGTTTCAGCTTCCCTGTTGTCACCCTCTAGAAAATACCTTAGTTAAGCACCTTTTGTTTCTTCTTGCCTTTGTACTGTTTTACTGCGCTTCCATGTTACAAAATCTCTTTCGAACGTTTTGCTCCATCTTCGCCACTTTTGTCTTTGATGGGTTCTGCTTCTTGTCTCAATTTAGTTTCATTTTGCCCTAATTGCCTCTTTTCAGGGTCTTTGCCTCTTATGTTGCTTGGGCCTCCGCTGACCGTCTGGTTCGCCTGGCAGTTCGCCGCTGCGCCTCCACGGACCCTGCTGGGGTGTCTGTACACCAGAAGTACACTGCTGGCGAGGTTGTGGATGCTGAAGAACAGCAGCAGGCGTGGCGTTGCGTGTGGGGCCAAGTGACGCAAATAACTAATGAAACTCACTACGGCTTGCCGTGGGGTGTCTCAGCAGCTCTCCCTGATTTCGGGTCTCCGGAAGAGCAGGTTTCTGCAGTTGTACGAGATGTCTTCACTCCTCTTCACATGCAATCAGCGTGTAAGCATCCTCTATCCTTTTTCATATGGCTTTTGCTGATTTATTTGCATTCTTTAGCCCTCTTCACTGCGCTTTCGCCTCGCCATTTGTTCAGCCTTTTGGGTCATCTTTTGCTCTCCAGTGGCGTTTCCTTCTGCTTCATTTTTTCTCCTCACTTGGCTCCTTGTACCAATTTGTCAGTGTTTGTCTTCAACTCGAGTTGTTTCTTTTTATTCGCCTCTTTCCCTGTCTCCCAGTATTCTTATGGTTTAGTTGGTCTCTACTTTGCCGCTAAATTTGTCTCTTCCGCTTCAGCACTTCGGTGTGCTTCTGCCTCTTCCTGCCTCCATCGGCAGTCTATCTCTGAGGTACAAAAGCTTGGGACTATTCGCTTTTGTTTTTGCTGCTGCTGCAGGGCAAACGGAGAACGCTGTGTCTTTGCTGCAGGTGCAAGTGGCCCGCGCTGTTTCTCGTTTGTGCGCTGTTTCTATTGCCTTAAATCCATCAAGAACACCAGCAGCAGCAGCAGCAACAGGGTTGCCTGAGGCTGCCAATCTGCGGAGTATATATAAAACGGTACTGACGGAGATGCAAAGGGACTTTATTGTCCCTTTTGTTTTTGGTTACGAGCAAGAAAGACCAGAATATATGGAAGTGTTGTTTAACGTTTCTCTTTTGGAATTTAAGAAAACAATTATCTTTGCTGCCGCTAAGAAGCAATTGAGCATCGTCGCCCAGGAGACACTGCAGGCCATGGGACCAAAACAGAGTACGCGAACCTATCTTTGCTAGCCTTGTTTCCGTTTTTCTTTGCATCATGTTTGTTTCGTATCATAGCAGCATGCCCACCTTTTCTTTCGGTCTAGCTTCCTCTCCCTGCGTTCATGCATACAAGTAAGCTACCCTCCACGTGTTAGCTTCATATATCTTGTGTGTTCTGCTGCTGCTGCTGCTGCTGCTTTTGTGTGAAGGATCTTTAGCGACGTTGTCCACTTTGCTGCCTCTGCTGCCTGAGTCCATCCTTACGTGGCAGCGCTATGCATCAGATGCAAAAAAGGCTCAAAAGGTGATAAAGGAGACAGTGGAAAATGAAATACAAGCGATCAAGACCCCACAGCGTGCGCTCGGTCTCACAAGCAGCTGAAACGCCCAGTATACTTACTGGGCATGCCTGCATTTGTGCAAAATTGAACATTCATTTTTGGCTGCCAGTGTGATTCTTTAGGTGTATTTGTGTCATTGTGCTTTTATTTCATACCCATACATGTGAACAGACAATCGCTTGTCTACCTGTACTCATACACATATGTACATATATATATATTTATTCACAACGTATTTATACTGTCTCTTATAGTACCAAATTGCATTCCTATATATTTTTGTATCTATAACTACAAACTGAGATATGTAAGAATCGCGCACGTGCACACGTACAAGTATAATACATAAACAAATGTACACACACGTATGAGACTACAAATACCTGAACAAAAATACGATAATGAATACGTATACGGAGCTCTTCTGCATTTTCCTGCTGCAGCTAGTGATCTGGTGTCGATGTGGATTAGCATCAACGGGGCCTTCATCCGCTCTCCAGAGACAAACAAGCAAAAGGGAAGGCCAGTGATGAAGCAAATTCAGTTGCAACCTAGAACAACTGTAGCACAGTTCAACGAACACTTCACGCAAGTGCTCAGAAGCAGGTAAACCACAAACCCTGGAAGGAATCTAGGAAGAAGGCGCCTGACGCAAATCTGCTCTGTCAGCCTGTTTGGTCTGGCACTAATTGGAAGACGCAACTGAGAAACTGTAGCTTATTTTGCTGTTGCGTTTGACAGTAATTAGTACTACGGCTGCTGCTGGTGCTGCTTGTACGACTTTTGCTACTGCAGTAGCAGAACGCATATCCACACATGTTTCATGCAGTGTTTTGGATGAGCTTTTGTTCTCTTTGCTTCCATTTATCTTCTTTGTGTTAGTTCAATGGCTCCTGGATGCAAGAGTTATTCTGCTGTTTTGAAGCGCAAAGAGGCAGACGGTAAATACACCCAAGTCGAAGAAACAACACAACTATTGGGAGGGAAGCAACAAAGCGACAAACTTAGGCTCTTCGCTATGCCTCCAACGGAAGGCTCTAACATTAGGCGACTAGTAAGATTTACAAGTATCTCTCTTGTTTTCTTCCCGTTCTACGGTCACCGTTTACTTTCCTCTCCCGTCTCCCTCATTCCAACAGCTTTTCTTCTGCTTCTTCGGTCTCTGTAGTTGTATGTATCTCTCCCTTGCCTGCTAAAGTGTATGGTTTTCTCTTTTCCAGCACATTTTCTGTATCTGAAAAAGCGTTTAGAAGAAAGGTTAAGCTGCCTAGTTGTTGCTCTTTCAATTTGTCAAAGTGGTATGTAATTTATACTTTCCAACATTACGCATTCTTCTCTGTGGCTTCTATGCAAGCGAATCTAAGGATAAGGGTTTAAAATTTTAGCGATCAGCTGTTGAGATCATTCAGGACTGGATTGGCTAGCAAAAGAAGTCGCAAACAGGGCTAAGTGTGCTTGCTCAACAGACCAGAGAAAACGATTGAGTGTTTGTGAATGTCTCTTTTTGCAGAATAACTGCTTCTTCTGGACGCCCCAGTTTCTGTTGCCGGAACCTTATGTCGTTCGTAACATCAGTTCATCACCTGAATAAATCGAAATAGATGCAGAAATATAGTTTGCTAGCCAGCTGGATAGATATGCATGCATATGTGTCGGATGGACTAGAGCAGTAGCACCGATTTTAGCATTTTTTTTAGGTTATATCCTTGGCTAGACCCCAGGATTAATTGTTTAGTATGCAGCTGCACTATGCCGTTGCTCTTTGCACCAAAGAATCTGCAGCCTCTTCTGCTGAACCAACTGCTGCTGCGACAGCAGCAACTGCATCATCAGCAGCAACCGCTGTTGATGCTGCAGCCGCCTCTGCGCAGACAAGCGCAGGGATTTTTTCATTGACAGATCCGCAGCAAAAGACCAAAGCGCGAATTAATTTTTCAAGCTGTACAAGCGATCGCTGTTGCTGCTCTTGCTGCTGCTCCGATGTGCCTAAAAAATGCAGTGACTATTGGAGTCAAATTTTGTGAGGTTGTGCTAATATGCCTATCCACTATTACTACTGCTGCTGCTTCTCACGTTGCTATTGCTCCTGCTCGTGCTGCTGCGGATATGTGAAAATATGGTACGGCGACTACAGTGGTTAGGCTGTGTTGGGCGGGATGCGTCTCAGTTGACAAAAAGAAATAACTGCACATCAAAGCAGCCATTAGCGAGACCTGAAACAGCAGCAGTGTACGCAGCAACTGCGGTAATATATAGGGTGAGTTGTGCACTGCTAGATTCGAAAAGGTGACGCAATGGTAGGGATGCAAACAAAAAGCAACGAACAAGCCGAATCTCATCGAACTAAGTGGTAAGCGCTGCTGCGCTAGCATGAATAACATCGACAGTAGCAGCAGCAAGGAGTGCCTGAAAAAGGACAAGCTCAGAAAGGCTGGAGGTTCACTGGGAAAGAGACACCGTCTTCGAACCTCGCAGACAAACCCAAAGGACATAGAGCTGGGGTACCGACTTGGCGTTTGGGGTCTAGACACTAGCCTTACCAAGCAAGCGGTAGAATTTAGGCTTGTGAGCTTGTAACCTAGCATCAGAACTGCGGTGTATGCCCTAGAGCTAGAGCTTGAGGTTGCATGCAACGGTTGAAGGTTCAAAAAATTTGGGGTTTGAAGTTAGGGCTTAGAATATAAAGCTGGCGTTTCGGGTTTACCACAACGGTTGCCTGTTAAGGTGACGGAGTTTAAAACCATGCCTAGGGAAAGAAGGAACCCAGCACACAGTAAAGCATGAGTGGGCTGAAAAAATCACTGCTAAAACCCAGACAGGACGCCGCCTGTTGGACCATACACATCAAAGCTAGAAGCCCCCAATCTTAAACTTTAAACTAAGGCAACTGACCAGCATATCTGAAAGATTTGCGGAAACAAACGAAGACGTGTAAAGGACCCCACCGTAGAACGAGGGCCTACATCAGCGGCTGGAGATTTAGAGTGTAAGCCAGTAGCCAAGTGTCTTCACAGATAACAAGTGTCTGGAGCGTAGCTCGAATGCTCGAGAACTCAGCGGCGCAGTCCGCTCCCGGCTCAAGGGTGCTGTTAGGATGATGGCTTTAAGATGGGGATTTTTCAGGAGACGCCTCCGCTCTGCGCTGCATAATCGGCTCCGTTTTCAACCATGGGACAGAGTGGTCTATGCGAGATGAGAGTTTGCACGGGCGCTTATCGATGGATTGACCGCGGCTTTATTCCTTTTTGATGAAAATGGCATGGTTGTTAGTGATGGCCAAAAGAGGCAAGCCATTCTAGATGACACTGCGGTTTATGACGCAAGCATGCTTGAAGTGCAAGCTATGGCCGACGACCTTTTGCTGCTCGGACACAAGAGCAAGCTTTTCAACCTTGAGCAAAATACAAAGCTTGTAGATGAAAGGATACCAAAGATCTCCACAAAAGGAAATACCGACAGGAAGGACGGACGATAAGAGCGCATGGACTGGGCCCACGGCATATCCAGAAACCAATGTGTTGCACAACCAAGAGCCACTGTTGGGCCGAACCACAAAAATCGGCGTTGGAGTCGGCTTATGGTACTAATAAGCAGAAGAAAGGCATAGATTTGTCCCGCTGCTGCAGCAGCACTTGCAGCTGCCGGTTGTGCTGCTTGGTACGAAAAATACGAACGCACAATCGCAAGCGAAGTGCGGGCGATTCAAGCTCTACTCTTTACCGGTGGTGCTCACCTGAAACTCTAGAGGGTGGAAAGCTTCGCTGCATCCAGCTCCGCAAAATCTTGTATTTTGAGAAATGAAAGGGTTTGGGTATTTATCTGTGTTTGCAAGCCCTAAACAGTTCCAAACGTGATATCTATTTCTCAATCCTAGGCCATAGGCCGTGGCCCTTAATCCATATACTAGGCTCAAAATTCCAGTTCAATGAGCTTGCGACTTGTGTGTCGCTTTTGCAGGTAATGGTTGCTGTCTGCTTTCTGCAAAGCTCCTGCTGCTCCTGCTGCTGCAGCATGCTTCATTTCTCTTTGTGCAGCATCTTACGTGTTTTTTTGCCTCTCACTGTTTACCTGTCTAACCTCAATTCGCAGCTACAAAACCCACTTTCCTTCGTGCGCATTGCCGGCATAATCCACATGCTGCAGTCGCAGCACTACTTAAATCCATCATAGCACCAACAACAGGAATAACAGCAGCAACCGCAGACAAACCAACAAACAATTTATCAATAATTTGGTTAGCCGCTGCATCTCTGTTTACCAGAGAAGCCGCTGCGCGGAAAAGCAGCAACGACATCAGCTGCAGCAGCTGCTGCAACAGGCGCGGCGGAACAGGCTGCAGCTGCTGTGCCAGCAAACGCAACGACTCGGCGCAATTCCATATAAATCGAAGAGCTAAGGCGTGGCCGTCAGGGTTGGAAAAGACAAAGGCAGCCAGAACTTTGGCCCCTGCTCCAAACCCGGCAGATACACTGGCTACACGGCTAGCTAGTTAGGTATGTCTATTACTACTTGATCGGCCGCTGGACCGGGGCGAGGGACAACATAAGAATCCGGCGACAAAAATTGGGCCGTCCACAGGAAGCAATTGTTCTGCAAAAGGAAACAATGTCAAGCCTTGAGTACTACATCTTCGTTTCTCCAGAAGATAGGGAAGTTCCGGTGTCCACACTTTATTCTATTACTTTGAGTACTTGCGTATGCTGTAAACGATTAAAAATCGAGAATCTGAACTCTAAGACCTTGACGTGCACGCATTTGAGGCACACAGAAGCACGCGTCTACGTCAGGACTTGTAATTTTGTTACACTAACAGATAAACAAACCGAGAGAAATAAAGTCAATTCATGAAATCTGTGAGGCTGCTGAAGGAAACACAATCAAGCAAGCAGGTGACACAAGCAAACGAGACACGTCAGGAGAACGTATGAAAAAGGCTCGACAGAGCAAATGGGCGGAAAAAAAGGGTAGAAAAGAAAAATAGGAGGAATGGGAGAGATGAGGGGGACAGAAAGTTAAAATGATGACTTCACGGGACAAAGGA